ACACAGCCAGCATGGCCAGTAAGACTAAAACTCAAATTCCTATTGTGTAACTTATTAGATGCTCTGTTCCAAAGAAACAATGGACTAATGAACTGGGGGGTTCACACTTCTGCAGTCTCATCTCTGACGCTACCTTCCTGTGTGGTCTCAGGTCGGCATGAACGCCCTCTGGGCTCCCACTCTCCTATGTGGGAAATGATATTGAACAGCTTGAGCATAAGAACCCTTCTACTTGTGACATTCAAAGTCTTCGCAATTTACCCATCTGACAGCTAAGGTAAGAGCTGGAATCCCCTTCCCCTTTACGTCCCTCCAGATTCCTTTCCACACTCCTCCACTCCTCTGCCCACATGGACAGGCTGACCGACCTGCAGGGACTCTCTAAGGAGCTCCCCAGTGCTCTGGCTTCCAACTGGTCTCAGCCAAGTGGTGTTTGTTCTCCTGACTCACCAGAGAGTCCTCCCCAAGCTGACTATGTCTCCATGGAAGGTCACAGCCCTGTGGTCTTCTCTGCAGACCTTCCTCCTTCCAGGTTTTGTTAAGTTTCCTCCCCTCACTCCTTCAGGCCTAGGAGTGGCAATAGCGCTCCTGTTACTGGGTGTACCTATTGGTGGTAATAGTCCTGGGTACTGTCCCTTGTGGTTCTCCCACTCCTGCCCACAGCTAGGTAAGCCTTTTGTAAATACACCCTCCTCAGTGGGAGAAGTCACAAAGGGTCCTCTGTGTGGTCATATGGAATGAGGGGTCAAATGAAAGGAGGGATCAAGGAAGACATCCAAGCAGAGGAGGCCTTTGCATGGTTGGCCTCAAACCTGTTTGGAAGAACAGGAAGAAGTGTATGCAGGCAACAAGGAGGGGTGGCATTTTAACCAAGAGAGGGGTGTGGATGCAGCCAGCAGGCCAGGCATTCTGGGAAAGGAGAGTCAACCTCTGTCTGGAGGGAAGACCTTGAGTAGAGAAGGAGTGAGGGGCAGGGTTGGAAACGCAAATGAAGGCCAGATGGTAGCGACCTCGAATGTGAGACGAAAGCCTGGGACTTCATTCTATGGGCGATGGAAGGCTCTGGATGGTTCTTGAGCAACGGAATGGCCCAATCACACTGAGCTATTTTAGGAATGTTAAGCTGGCGGTGGAAAGCAGATTGTAGTGTTACCAACTGGGTAGCCCTTCGCAAAGGGAACAAAGGAGGATGCCAAAAGTGACACCCACCCGCCTTTGCTCCTAAGCGGTGGGGCAGAGGCGGTACAGACGTTACCCCCCAAGCAACTCTCATGCTTATGCCAGCCTTAAAAGAGCAGAGCAGGGAGTGCATGGCATCCTGAAGATGTAAGGGAAAACACATTCTTGGAAGAGATCTCCTCTCAAAGCCATCCACCCACAGCCCCCAGAATAAGGGGTAGGCAATCTGTTTCTCCTGGCATCTGATTCAAAATGCTCCCGAGGCCAAGAGGACCTAAAAGAATTCCTCTGCTCGTGTGTGTGAGAACAGCCCAACAGGGGACCATCTGTCTCAGAACAGGCCCCCCGATGTGGAGGCAGAAACAGTAGCCCCCAAAGGGGTGCTATTTCAGTTTTCAGGAAAGCATTCTGTGAATGTCCCCAGCCATTAACTGGAGATCTCTCTATAGCACTCCATTTAGTTCTCTGCTAAATAGAAACCAAGGCGGTGGGGGACACTTTCTAAGAGGTTCCCTGTCCCTGACATCTCAGCGTGGACCTATTTAGGGTGGGAAGATTCTGAGGGTTCTGATCACCTGAGATAGTATGAACCCAGAAAGCAACAGAAAACTGAAAGGGATGCAGTTCCAGGAGGCAGAGACTTCACAAACTATCAGCAAAATATTCTGCTCAGGGTTAGCCCTGTGTCTCCTCCTTGAAAAGAGTGCTGTCAGTTCCAGATGGGTCCAGGAAGGACCCTTCTTCCTCAGGGGGTGCTCCATGGCCCACTCTAAGGTCCGCTCACCTGACCATGCCCTCGTGATGTGAAGTTTCCATAGTATTTCAAGGGAAGCATGATGGTTGCTGGGACCAGGGAGGAAGCAGTTAGAGAGCCTGAATGAAGAAAGCTCTGCAAGACTCAAATATTTTGGGGTAAGTAGGAGAGACAGAGCTAGCAAAGGAGGGTGGGGATCAGTGAGCTGGAGGGGAAACCAGAAAGTGACTGTCACAAAGCCAGGAGGAGGAAGTGGTCAGAGGCATTGAATGCTCTTGAAAGGCAAGTATAATGACAACAATCACAGAGGTCATTGATGATTCTGAAAAGAGCAGTTTTGATGAAGTGGAGGAAATAGAAGACCTACTTCAGCAGCTCTCCTAACCTCTGAGGTAGATATATTTATCCTCATTTAACAGATAAGAAAGCTGAAGCTAAGAGTTGGTTTGACATGCCCTGCTGCCTGTAATCACCATTGATTGAGTGAGGTTGATGATGATGTTGGTGACGGTGACAGTGACCGTGATGGCAATTGTGATGTTAATGGTGATGGTGATGTTGGTGATGGTGACGATGATGGTGACAGTGACAGTGATGATGGTTGTGGTGATGGTGATGGTGATGGTGACTGTGATGGCAATTGTGATGTTAATGGTGATGGTGATCTTGGTGATGGTGATAGTGACAGTGATGATGATGGTGACAGTGACCATGATGGTGATTTTGATGTTAATGGTGATCGTGATGTTAGTAATGCTGATGATGATATAGAGAATGATAGTGACATTGGCAGCTTTTCAGACAGATTTTCTGTTCAACCAGAAATTGATCATGATTGCAAAGTAAAGTAATCTTTGCAAAAAGTAATCTTTGCCCCGTCTGTAAAGTCAGACAGATCCAAAGCTATATCTAAGCCAGTCAGCAACACGTAATCTTTACAACCTTTGAGCCTCAGTTTCCCTAGCTGTGGAATGGAGATGCTGTTGCCTGCTTCACAGGACAGTTGGGAGCATGGCATGGACGGGAAAGGGCCTGGTTCCTAGTAGGCCCTCAATAAATGTTTGTGTAGTGCATTTGTCTGCAGGGCAAAGTTAGGGAGTGCAGTGAACATCAATGGGTGAGCCTTACCTTCCCCAGCTGATCTAGCCCTCCCCACCCTAACTCCACTCCCCAACCTGAGTTAACTCCAACCCTAACAGCAGTCATGGACATCTTGGTGACTGCCTGCTCCTCAGGATCCCTCCTGTATGCCCACACATTGCTCTGGCAACGGAGCTGTGCTGGGATCTCCACCACCACCTTCTTGTCTGTCTCCCTAGTAGATGAATGCCCAAGAGACTCTAAAAGGCAGGGAAAAAATTGATCAACTTGAATGGTAATACTTACCATTCTACTGCTGGCATTCAATTGGGAGAGAAGTGGTGTAGGCTTAAGAGTTTGGGCTTTGCAGTCAGACATGTCTGGAATTAAGTAGTTTCCTCCTTCAAATTGTTAATCAAATATCACCTTCTTCAAGAGGCCTACCCTGACCATCCCATTTATACTGAATCCTCAACCCACCAATAGCACCTTCCCAGTCACACTAAACCTGTTCCACCTTTTTTTTTTTTGAGGCAGAGTCTCACTCTGTCTCCCAGGCTGAAGGGATCTCAGCTCACTGCAACTTCCGCCTTCTGAGTTCAAGAGATTCTCGTGCCTCAGCCTCCAGAGTAGCTGGGATTACAGGCACTCGCCACCACAGCCGGCTAATTTTTGTATTTTTAGTAGAGATAGGGTTTCACCATGTTGGCCTGGCTGGTCTTGAACTCCTGACCTCAGGTGATCCACCCGCCTTGGCCTCCCAAAGTGCTGGGATTACAGGCGTGAGCCACCGCACCTGGCCCTATTCTACTTTTTTTGATCCCTTTCTAACTTGCTACATGTTTTTCTTATGTCTTATGTTTGCCTGTTTTCCCCTCCACTGGATTGTAAACTCCAAAGGGCAGAGATTATTACTTGTTTTGTTCACTGGTGTATCACACCACTTAAAATGGGGATGGCACCTGGGAAGTGATCACGAAACGTTTACAGAATGAATGAAGCAACAGCTCTATCCTTAGCAACACACACATAACAAGTAGTTCACCTATCATTTGGATGTGAACCAGATCTGTCCGGCTTCAAAAATCGGGGCCATTTTTACCCCAATAATTTTCTCCCTGGTAGTAGCCCCCTATTTAATTCCACCCCTAATCTCTAGAACATTTTCATCTTGAAGTCTCACTCTTAGATCAATCCATTCAAGTATTACAGGGCTGGATTGCTATTTGAGGAAGACTGAATGTGTCCTGGACTCAAGAGAAGGTCACTTCCAGTTTAGGCACCTGGCATGATAAGAGGAATCCAGGCTCTGTGATAAACCGAAGAGAATAGCTCAATCCACCCCAACCTGGCTTAAGGGCAGCACTTTCCATTTTAAATGCTCCCCAGTCAAGTCAACTCTAGGTCCAAGGGGCCCTGAAGCCCAAGGTCTAGACTGTGTTTGCTCCAAGGGGTCCACCTACTGGGAAAACGCAGGTAAGTCAAACAAACCTGTTTGTCCTCCCAGTACAGCAAACAGAAAACAGGACTCATTCTTCTGCAAAGCCTCCCTGCTGGACCCGAGAGGCATGACTGAAATAATGGGAAGGCAAATATTTTCCTGGAGAAAATGATAAAACTGGAGGCAGGGAAAACAAACAGTGGCTTTCAAAAGGGCAGCTGGCATGGAGCTGCGCTAGAAGGAGCTAGGGAAGATTCCGGAAGCGGGGAAGCATGTGGCCATGAGCTCCTGGCTTGGAGAAATGTGAGGGCTTTGCTCAAAGCAGCAAGCACTTCAGGTTTAGGGGGAAGCTGTCTTCTTCTCTCTCCTTACCACTAGAATTATAGTTATTGTTTTTGAGGTGGAGAGAATTCAGGCAACAAGGTATAGGACAGGGCAGAGCTCAAGCTGAAAGCCAGGCGTGCTTGGGCCTGAATTCTGTCATTCATTCATTCATTCATTCATTCATGCAGTCAGTCAGCCCCTTTGGACATATATATTGAGTACCTGTTGTACAAGGCTCTGGTCGGTGCTACGTGGTCTTGAGCGAGTCCTTCGTCCATTCTGAGTCTCAATGCTTTCATCTGTAAAATAGGGCTGGCGCAGGACTGCTGGGAAGATAAAAAGTAATGTTCAGAAGAGCACTTAGCACAGGGTCTGGCCCATAACTGACTTTCAGGTGCAGTCACCTTGGAAACCTCCTCCAGCTGACCAGTCCCTCCCTCCTCTTTCTCCACACTCCGGCCAGATGTCCTCATTGTCCCACTGACTATGGCCCATTCAGTTTGGTCTCTTGGCCTTTTTGTGCTGTTCCCTCCACTTCGGATGCCCTTCCCACTATGCAACTTCCACTCAGGGCTCCCGCAAGGACACTGGATCAAACAGATTCCTCGCCAGCCTCTTTACCCTCTTGTCCCTCCAAACCTAGTGCTCCTGTGCATCCCCCACTCCTGCCCTTCCAGAGACCTGGGAAGACTCCAAAGAGACTCCTTCCCAGTTGCCTGCCATGGCAGCCATCTGCAAGGGCCATGAGACCTCAGCTCAGTCCTCCTGCAGTGCTTAACACTTAGGACTCTAGTTAAGCACCTTTTCTCTTTGTTTCCTTGATGTCCTGTCCCCCACTGAGACCTTAAAGCTCTACTTAAGCACTTCTTCCACCAGGAAGCCCTCTCTGACTCCCTCAGTCTGGATTATCTGTCTTCCTTGTACACCTTTCCCCAGAGTGCCTGAGCTTAACTTAGCCAACACATCACTCCATGCTGTTCTGAAGAGCTCTTCCAGGCCCAGGAACATGGCTTATTTATCTCTGCATTTTCAGGGTCTGGCCAAGTCTTGCTTGGCACCTGGAGGACTCAAGAAAAGCTTGTAGTGTATGTCAGTTCTAGGTCCTAGAGATGGGGCTCTGATGACATGAGACCAGCTCTGTCACTTGGGGCAAGGATAGAGGAAAAGGAGTGATTAAAGCCAGCTACCGGGAAAAGGAAATACACAGGCTTGGAAGGGGAAGAAGAAGTTAGCAGAGACAGAGGGAGGAAGAGGATCCCAGACTGAGGGAAAAGCACATACAAAGGCTACTGAAGGCTTTGGGGTCCCTGAGAGGGCCTAGGCGACTGGAAGAAAGACCTTTGAAGGTCCCTTAGCACCTTTACCTACAGATAGAAAGGTCTTGAGGGTCCTGGTTGGGGCGAGACATGAGCACATCGTTATTTCAGGAAGACCCACAGAGTGCTGTGTGGATTGACAATTGAGAGAGGTCATGCACTCAGTTAGATGGCCGATGTCAGGCTCCACAGGAGAGCCGCTGGTGTCCTGGAGAGAAGCAGGTAGAAGGATGCCAGGGCAGGTGGGTGATACCACCACGTGATAACAACATCACGTGGTGATAGATCATGTGTGAGAAAGGTGGAGAGGGATCAGGATGGCCCTGTGAACTAAGGAATTTGTTCTTCAAAGGCCCAAGGGTCCCCAGCCAACCCCCCCATGATGACTCCATCCTCCTCCAGACCAAGACAGGAATTCTGCCACCAACAGCTGGACGGCCAGGCTCTGTTCTCTTATTCCAAGAACAGAGGTCTCTCTCTGAGGACTCAAAACTGTCAGGAAGTTCCTCCCTTGACTGTATTGAAAGCAAATCTCCTCTACGTCTAGCTTTCCATCCTGGCTCTACCTGAGGCAAGGGAAAAATTAAAGGGGTGAGGCAGCTGGGGAGAGAGGTAGCACTCACTGAGTACTTGCTATGTGCCAGGCATGGCAACGGGCACTTTACCAGCGAGTTGCCATTCTCTTGTGCAATCATCTATGAGGTGATAGATTGATGATGCCCAGTGGCTAAGAGCACAGCACATGGCATGGGTTCAAATGCCGGTTCTGCATTCTACTTTTGTGACCCTGAGCAAACAAATTAACTACTCTGAATTTCAGATTTTTTTATCTAAAACATGGAAATGTTTATTCTCCTAACTCACTGGGTTGAGATTATGGGCAATAAACATTGGAGCACATTTTATAGTATGGATTTAATACGTATAACCTGTTTTCATTGTCTCTATTTTACAAGTGAGGGAATAGCACACAGTCTCATGCGGGAGCTGAAATTCGGAGCCAGGTCTCTCCTCTCCAGGCCCAGTGCTCTTTCCTTCACTCCACCATCTTGCCTGCCACAGCTACTGTAAGAAGCCACTCCCCGGAAGTGTTCCAGATGGGGGTGCTCCGTGTAGCTGTAGGTAGTACCATGGGAGAGTGGTGCTGACCAGAGCTGAAGCTGAGGCCGAGAAGGGCAGGATTGAGGGATTAAGAGTCTTTTCCCTGAATCAGGCAATAGGAATACTTGCGGAATACCTACTGTTTGCAACCTTTGTGCCAGACCCTGTAGGCAATGCAGAGGAGGGAAAGCATGCCCTCTGCCCTCAAGGAACAAAAAATCTACTTGGAAATATGAGACAAGCAAATATAAATTCATTAACTGGCAATCAATGGCTGTCTAGAGAAATCAACACCTACTGCATTTTTCTTTGTTGTAATGTTAGGCCAAAGCATGAAATCCACAGTCCTAACAAATGTCAAGGCCTGCATTTGGGACCAAAATGATTAACTGTCCCAGGAGCATCCTGGCTTGTCAACAGGCCTTGTGAAAAAGACCTGGGGGTTTTAGGTAACTCCAAAGCTTCATATGAGCCCATGTAAGGACAGTGGCTGTTTCAAAAGCTAACATGATCCTGGGGTCAGAGACAGAGGTGTCATGTTCAGGTCAGCAGAGGTAACTGGCACAGGGCTCTTTTGGAAAGCTACCAACCCTGGGTGCTACATTTCACTGGGAAGGCAGACCAAGAATGTCACCCAAGAGGTGAGAGTTCAGGAGCTGTGCCCCTTGAAGTGTCATCTAAAGAAAATGTGATCACAGGCCCTGGACAGGAAAAAGGGCCGGGTTGAACGTGGGTGTCATCCTCAAATACCTGTCATGTGTAGGCAGCCTGGTAAGGCAACAGACCAGCGTCCAAGCTCCACCACTTACTGCAAGGGGTGACCTTGGCAGGTGACTCAACTCCCCTGAGCTGCAGTGTCCTCATTTGAAAGATGGGAAAAATCACTTTTTTTTTTTTTTTTTTGAGACGGAGTTTCGCTCTTGTTACCCAGGCTGGAGTGCAATGGCGCAATCTCGGCTCACCGCAACCTCCGCCTCCTGGGTTCAGGCAATTCTCCTGCCTCACCCTCCTGAGTAGCTGGGATTACAGGGATGCGCCACCATGCCCAGCTAATTTTTTGTATTTTTAGTAGAGACGGGGTGTCACCATGTTGACCAGGATGGTCTCGATCTCTTGACCTCGCGATCCACCTGCCTCGGCCTCCCAAAGTGCTGGGATTACAGGCTTGAGCCACCACGCCTGGCCCAAAAAAATCACTTTTCATGGTGGTGTGAGGATTCAACGAGATGGCAGAGTTGTCAACAGAGCAGCAGAGTTGTATACAGAGCAGCGCTCAGGAAAGCTTCATCTCCTTCCTTCTCTAAGATATTGAAGGACCATTTTGAAATGGAAGAATATCATCATCTGCAAAGGAGAAGGGGGATGGATACATGCCCTCATTAGCAGGGCTGAAGAGGGCAGCGTCCCAGTGAAACGGCCCACCAGGGTTCTGAGATCCCAGAAGGAGGTTCTGCAGAGGGGCCTGACGGAACCAGGGTCATGAGATAAGCACCAGGGAATGCAGGCTGCCAAGGAGGAGAGGTGAACCCAGGGCAGGCTGGGGTTCACTGAAGACAGCCTTTCCCTGCCTCATGGCTCCTTCCGGGGACCGTCGCCCCCCTTCCCACCCCTCTGCCTGATGCCCTTAGCTCAACCCTATGATGCCGTGAGAACAGAAATCTCCAAGGTCCTGGTTTTGGTCCTCCCAGAAGCAGACCCTGAGACATGGTCCTGGGTGCATGTAGTATAATTGAGAAGTGGTTCCAGAGAATGGGAATTGGAGGGGCAGGGACAGTGTGAGACAGGGAGGGGAGAGAAGCTAACCAAGTGTAATTAATAAGCAGGACACCACTGTGGGCAACTGAGGCTCAATCCCTCTGAGTCCCCTCTGAGAAACTGAGTGGACTGAGCTCTTGGAGCTGGGAGGCTGAGCCATTGGTCCACCAGCTTGCATGCCCCATTGGTGAGGGTTGTCCTGGCATATTTGCACTCCTGAATTTCCGGGTCATGCCTGCCAGCAGCCAAGCTGTGCTGGGGAAAGCCCTCAGGCAGAGAGGCATATTGGCAGAGAAATATGGGCATGATTACTGTGTCCTGGCTACAGCCCAGACTGAAGGAAAACTTCAATGAACAAGAATGTTGAGGTCTCCATGAATCTGCCACACTCACCACTGACCCCACATTGTCAACTTTTGGCCTCTTACAGCTTCCTGCTGCACTGACGCTCTTCCCCACAACACCTGCATGAGGCCACCAGGGCCGGTTTTCCTCCCGCTGCTCTGTCTGGTCTTCTCAGGCCGGCGTGCTGGCTTCTTCCTTCCCTCGCCCTTCAGTGCTGAGGTTCCTGGGGTCAGCTCCTGAGCCCTCTTCCTTCCTCACTCTCCTTCAGTGTCTCACAGGACTAACTGCCCCTGAGCCTCCTGGGGATTGTGTTAAAATACAGATTCCAAAGCCTCCCCATAGACCAACTGAACCAGAACCCCTGGGAACGTGGCCCACAAGGGTGTCTTGTTTTTAACATGCTCCCAGGGTAGAGTCACTAGGCAACATGCAGGATGTCCAGTTAAGTCTGAATTTCAGATAAACAAGCAGAGGCAGGTCAAGCGAGATACCTGCCATATGTGAGACATACTGAGAAAATATTTGTTGTTTATCTGAAACTCAAACCTTACAGGGCCTCCTGTACTTTCATTTGTGAAACCTGCCAACTCTATGCCAAGGCAATTCTGATGTATCATAAAGCTCAAAAACTTCTTTTCTATACGCTCCCTGCATTGTGTACCCACACCTCAGTTTCTATTACCAGCTGTGCATGGCTGACTCACATTTCTTTCTCACCCGGACCTCTCCCCTGAATTCCTCATATCTGATGACCTACTGGACATCTCAAATTCACCGTGTTCAAAACTGAGCACGTTATTCCACACCACCCCCTACACCTGCTCTCCAACTCTGCTCTTCCTCCTTCTTTCTCTCAGCTGGTAGCACCACCATTCACTTGCGGCCCAAACCAGTATCCGCAGGAGGTTTCTCTCCCACTAGCACCTCCCTTCTCCCCAGTCAGTTACAAAATTGTACTGGCTACAGTTCCCAAAGTCCTTTGTATCCAGGTACTAGGCTAAATAACAGCCTTCCAAATAAGTCCACACCCTAATCCCTAGGACCTGTGCATGTTAACTCATATAGCAAAGAGAAATTGCCAATGTGTTTAAGAACTTTGAGACGAGATTTTCCAGGTGGGCCCTGAATATCCACAAGAGTCCTTATAGAGGGGTGCAGGAAGGTCAGAGTCAGACAGAAGGTGATGTGATGATGGTAGCACGACTGGAATAATGCAGATTGAGGATGACAGAAGGGGCCATGAGCCAAGACATGCAGGCGGCATTCCAGAAGCTGGAAAAGGCAATCTGGGAACAGCGTCTACCCTAGAGCCTCCAAAGGAACCAGCCAGGCTGACACCTTGGCTTTAACCCAGTAAATTGACTTTGAACTTCTGATCTCCATAACTGTAAGAAATGAAGTTGTGTTGCTTTAAGCCACTAAAATTTGTTGCAGCAGCAAAAAAGAAACTGATACAACCCATCCACTTTCTCCCTTCTCGTTACCTCTGCCTGGCTTCTGCCCCGTCCACTGCAACCTCCTCATAAGAGGGTCCTGATTCCTGCCTTACCTCCTCTGGTGTACCCCCATAGTTCCAACAAAGTGGTTTTTCTCCTGCTTTACACCTTTAATGGCTCCTGATCATGGAGGAAAAGTCCAGACCTAGCCTCAGCTCAGCTGTCACGATTTGCTCCCTGCCCACCCCTCTCTCTTCCTCTCCACTTTACCCCTTTAGACTGCTGGATAACTGAACTCAGCTCATGGATTAACAACCCTATGTTCTTGTTCTTTCTGACAAGAGTGCCTTTCCCCAACTTCTTTTCCTGCCAAACTCCTATTCATGCAACAAAACCCAACTCAGATATAGCTTCCTCCTGAAAGCTTTCTCTGGTTGTTGTGCCCCCACAGTGAGTTAACGGCAGCCTGCCGTAATCTCCTACCACTGTATCCCTTGATCAATTCCTATTGTTGCCCCTGCCTAACTCTGAACTCCCTGAGGACTGGAACAGTTTCTTGTACACTTTTGAATTTCCAGAAGCGAGAAGTTACTTCATACATATTTGTTGAATTAAAGCAAATAAAGGTTTCAGCTTCAACATTCTGCGATTTTATGCTACTGTTTCTTAGAGTTTTCTCCAAATCAGCAGCTATTTTCTATGAATGAGTAGAATGACAATTATTTTTTTTTCCCATCACTGGTCCCTATTAATTCACACAAGATAAATAAAAATTAATAAGCACTCATTTGTCGTGTGGACTTAATAATCCAAAATTACATTTGTCTTGGCCCAGAGTACTAACTCATCTCACAATATTTGCAATTTATTGAGAATTTAGAATCCAGTGTCTCTCTCACTTCAATGAAGTATACACACGCACATGTGCACATGCACACACACATGCATGGGCACACACGCATGCATGCGCGCACACGCATGCACACAAATACTGGTCTAGGGTCTGCAGAAGTCGGAAAGCAAGACAGAACGAAACTATGAACTCCAAGGATCCTAAGGAAGGCCCCATCCAGCCTAGGATGCTACTTATAACAGAGTCCCCGCAACTCCCCCGCTAAAGCCACGCTGGGAAATGATGGTGAGGCCCATTGAAAAGTGCAGCCAAAGGGTCACAGATTTCTATTTAGCTCCATTCCCAGATATTAATCCTCAAGGCCCTATTTCTTCCAAAGAAATCTGGTCGTTGAACCATAAAAGTCACATGCGAGAATGGGAGGAAGCAGAGAAAGGCCTCCTATTCGATGCCTCACTCCCGCAATTCTCTAACTTGCCAGTATTTTCTGGGCTGAGAGGAAGCTCCTTTTCCTCCTCTGTCTAATGTCCTTTGGAACCTGATGTGCCCAGCCCTGCAGACAGAAGAGAGGCGCTCAGCATGGAGCCTGGGGTCCTTCAGTACCCACTGCATATGGTGTGGTTCTGTGTAATATTTGGACAAAGAATTCTGCATTTAAAAGAGCTTCAAGGGGGCCATGATGGCTCCGGCCAGTTGTCCTGGCACTCGAGGAGGCAAGGCCATGAGTTCAAGGCCAACCTGAGCAACGTTACATGCTCTCATTGATTGACAAACAAACAAACAAGATAGATAGATAGATAGATAGATAGATAGATAGATAGATAGATAGATAGATAAAAGAGCTTCAAAATCATAGGTTGGAGACCGATACCTTGAGTGTTTGATGCTAAAGCAAGAAGTATTATTTGAGGAAAAGGAAACTTCATGAACCTGAGTCACAGCTATAGGCAGGAGATGTCAGGCACAGGAGTAGAAGAGGCTGCAAACCTCGTATCTGCCCCAGCTGCCTTAGGAGAAGAATGCCCTCTCCTCTCTTCTGCTTGTGGCTTAAGTTCATGAAGTGGCCCATGGTCTTCCACATTCATTGATGGTTGAAGGAATTTCAGACAATTCTACAGAGTGAGAGGCCAAAGGCAAAATCCTTTCAGAGGAAGTTCAATGGGGGGCAGAGTGGCTTGGGCAATGGAGTGGAGGGTTGGAGCCTGCAGATCTGGGTTCTGGCCCAGCTTTGCCTGGTAGCATTCGTGCTGGACTGTCTGTCATCACCTCGAATCCTTACCGCCCTCATCCACTGTCTCCTCCAGGACCTGGAGTTCCCAGATTCCCCTTCTCTACAGGGCCCCAGGCTGGATCCTGCCAGGGAGACACGTACATAGTATTTGGAAGGTGAAAGAGAGGAGAGGCCATTCTTCTCCTAAGGTGGTTGGGGCAGATATGAGGTTTGCAGCCTGTTCCAGGCCTCTGCCTGCATTCTCCCACTCACGGCTGGGGCTCAGAGTCATCACCAGCTTCCTAGAGGTTCCATACCGCTTCCAGGCCAGTCCACTTTGAGGCCTGCATGCTGACTTTCCACGATGACTTCCTGACCCTTGCTCCTCCTCCCCTTCCAGCAGCTGAGCCAGCCTCTAATTCCCTGAATGGACACCCTGTGCAAATAGAACACTTAGAATGGGTTGTTTTTCTTTTTTTTTGAGATGGAGTTTCGCTCTTGTTACCCAGGCTGGAGTGCAATGGCTCGATCTCGGCTCACCGCAACCTCCGCCTCCTGGGTTCAAGCAATTCTCCTGCCTCAGCCTCCCGAGTAGCTGGGATTACAGGCACGCACCACCATGCCCAGCTAATTTTTTGTATTTTTAGTAGAGATGGGGTTTCACCATGCTGACCAGGATGGTCTCGATCTCTCGACCTTGTGATCCACCCACCTCGGCCTCCCAAAGTGCTGGGATTACAGGCTTCAGCCACCGCGTCCGGCCAGAATGGGTTGTTTTTCTACTGACTGGTTGATGCAGCCGTTCTGCAGCCTTCAGTGACTACACCTTTCAGAGGCAAAACAGGGTGATCACGCCCATCCCGTGAAGTTGTGAGGATTAAACAAGAGAACGCGTGGAAGGCACCCGGCCCAGTCCCCTCTCCCTACCTGCCAAGCCTCACATTTCTCTGCCTTTTTAAATCCCTCCCTCTATGGCCATTTGATGGCTCGTTATTTTGTGAATAATGTTGTCACTGAGACTTACCTGCATTAATTTCAGCAATCAGTTAATATTATTACTAATAACAATAAGGCAGGAGAGATTGAGCTGAAAGGGATGAAGCAATAGATAAAAAGAGATTTAACCTTTGAGGAGGGGGGTCTAATCTGTGAAGTGCCTGGCTGGGGAAGCAAGGAACCACAAGCACAGAGGAGGGGGTTACCACATAAAGCAGAAAGATCTCTCTTCCAGCAAGAATGAGGGAGGAGAGCAGGTAGCTGTGGTGCCCTAGATGTGCAGATGGGGCAGGGCCTGGCGATTAAAGGCATTTCACACCTGCGGGCTTCACTTTCCCTGTGACCTTGCCCTTGTCTTTCTGCATGATCAAGAGCACTGATCATTACTGCTTGTCTTTTGTCCATGTTGGACTGTAAGCTCCACGAGGACAGGGCCCACGTCTGACTTGCTCAGCTCTGTATCTCTTGCTGGGCATGTAGTAGGTGCACAAGGCTGTGGGTGCTGGGATGGAAGACTGAGGAAAGCAGTGGAAACTTGGAATGGTTGTGGAGGGGATTGCGAAATGGGGCTGACAACTCTGGAGAGGATTTCCAGGTATCCCTAAGAACCCGAGTGAGTGGGGGCTCCTCGTGTTTTCATGCAGCAGTGATCCCAGCAGTACTGGAGACAAAAGTGGGGCAGGAGTGCAGAAGGCTGACCTCTGGTTTTAGCAGACAGATATCCTGGGAGGTCAGCAGGGACGAGGGAAGAGGGTATGTATTGCTCACCCAGTCTAGCCTATGTGAGGGGCACAGACAAACAGAGGAGGAGGCTGATGGAAAGGAAAAAGAAATAGAGAGTCAAAATCCGGATAACTTGATGAGGGGAAAACCAGGCACAGGCAGTGAGAAGTCTGGGAGTAATTGATTGGGGTGGTGGGCTACTGTCAGGGTGAATTCCAGAGAACCACCACAGAGGATGACAAGATCCAGTGGTCCCTGACGTGGCTGATCATCAGAAGGTCAGATCCAGTTTCTGGACTTATTTCTGGAATTTCTGATTGAACAGGACTGTGACCTTGAAATCTATATTTTAAAGCTCCCCGGATGGTACTGATGATTGGCCAATGATTGGCCATCCTCTGGGAAATGCTAAATCCCGGCATTCGGGTAGAACTGAGGGTGTGAGTGACAGAGTGGAGTGGCGGTGATGCCAACGTGCCTGGAAAGGTTTGGGAGGCATGTGGGGCATGGACAGTGGACAGGTTATTCACAAGGATGTCGAAATCACATGGGATGATGGCAGGATTTTGCACAGAGGGGAACACCATGACTCCGGTGGTACCAAAGCCCTACATGAATGGAGGGGCATATTCACCATTACGGGGATGATGGTGAGAGCGTATGCTGGCAGCCTGGATCTCAGGACATGATGGAGCAACTGCATCTGTGTAAAATGATGAAGCTGAGAAAAGAGGCAAAGCTCATTCTCCGGAGCTACCTCCACTCCCACAGAGCTACCAATCAATCCAAAAGCACTCACCGGGTTTATATCTGTGCCCACCCCTTTGCAAGCTGCCATGAGACTCTAGGATGAGAGAAACATGTCTGCCGCATGAAGAACTCAGTAGCTTGTGGGGAAGAGATGGCATTTGTGTCCCGCCCAGCTCTCAGACTGTGTTTTCAGCCCTAGTAAAGCGGAGCTCTTAGCACGAGACACCTTGGAAAGCTTTGTGCAGTTTTGGTGTCCAGTGGCAAAAGTGATAGCGAGCTACAGAGAGTGGCTGCCCATACTCTACATCGGACCTATCCCCATCTGATACCTATATCACGGTAACCTTCAGAAGCATCCAGAGGACACGCCCTCGACATGGACAACGGTGCTCCAGGTTGGGTACGGCCGGCAGCTGCCAAGGGAGGCCCCCTCAAGCAGTCCGAGGTGTACAGCGCATGGACAGAGGGGTGACAGACAGTGCATGGACAGTCCTAGGGGCACAGCACATGGACAGATGAGATGAGGCAGGAGAACTGGACAGCCCCATGTGGTGACTGCAACATGAGGTGGCATTTGGGAAAATCTCAGGGCACTTGAGAAGCTTTCCTGGTGGTCCTGCTTGAGCTGCTGGAGAGATACATAGGGTGTGTTTGTGCTATGAGGGGGCCTCCCCTGCAGACATTGTTTGGTGAGCTCCCAGGACACTGGGACCCTGGGGTCACACACTCTATATTTTTGCTCAGTGGGCCGCTGCCTGCATCCCACTGCTGGCTTATTTAAAAAGCAGATTCCTGGGTTCCGCCCCAGACCAACTGCATCAGAAACTTCGAGCAGTGGAAATAAGCAACGCACACTTTAAACAAATCCCGAAAGGGGCTTTATAACCAGACCCACATTTCTGAAGCACTGCCTTCTCCTGACTTACTGGCCCCTCGAAGGAAAGTATCATCAGGCCCATTATCCAGATGAGGAAACCAAAGTTCAGAGAGTATAAGTCCCTGGCCTGATGCCTTATGGCTAGTAAGTTGCTGGGTTGGCATTTAAAGGCAGGTCCTTCAATTCCACTGCAGCTCTTCTTTCTGTCACTCTCCTTCTCTCAAAGAGGGAAGAGCTCACCAGGGAGCTTGAAAGGTGAGGTCTCAAGGGACCACCTGGTGGGGCCTCAACCTGGGCTGGCCTGGGAAGCTGAGCAGGATCTGGAAGGGAAGGCGAAGGCATCGAGGACTTCCATTCCCCGAGTGTCTATGGCATTGAGCACAGCACTGTCATCACATGCACACACACAGTCTCGTTTTATCCTTGCTTCACTCCTAGACGTTAAATGTTACTGTTCCAATGTTGCAGA